GTTATAGGACTATTCTGTAATAAGGCAGTGGCATAATAATTATATGAAAATGATTAATTTGATTTTATTAAAGTAAATTAATTCAATTGTTATCGACAAACTGTGATAATAAACGAAAATAACGACTCTGTGTTATTATTATTAATACTACCTTAGTAACCTATGTTATTTATCAAGTACAAAATAGTGAAACCAAATGAACTTGAAATAGATAATTGTTTATAAAAAATAATAATGGTTTGGATACTAGTTTGATCACTTTTAATCCTGATTGAAGGATCAGGTAGCGGCAGTACAAATAAAATTTCTTAAATATCATATAGGTATATATATATATTTTTTTGTGAGTGGAAAATCATCAAATGACTTCTCCCGCCCATGGCCGGGCGGGAGGGAGTGTCAGACTCTTACTGACTAAAAACCCCCCCTGTACCTTGTCCTGCTCTGGGCCGACGTCGCGGTGCCTCATTGCGCTTACCCCGCAACCAAATATCATATATACTATCAAATTTATCATTGTGGTATTGTGCACAATCAACAACAACCTATATCTTCTGCTTTCCTCAAAAAAAATTTCATATTGCTTTGGTATTGAAATAAACAATAACAGGGCCAAAGGAATCGTATTAAACATCCATCTAACAAAATTACAGTATCTATTTATATTAAGCAAGCTAAATGACGATTTGCATGAGAACTCTGCTTGTGTGATGCACACAGCGCCATCTTTTGGCATATCATAGAAATTTGTCGCGATGACAATATAGTGTCAATGAGGGTTTTTTATTGCTATACGCTGCTATAGCTTAAGTATTTGTTCAATCACTATATCTATTTAAAATTTGACTATTTTCTTTCAGGAAAACAGACCTTACCACTTATTGACCAAAGCCTTTCAATATAAATTTCACTTACCTCAACTTCTTCTAGAGTCTGAGTCCATCTATAGTTTTCAAGGTCACATCCATTGCCTGAATTAGGCTTCAGTTTTCCTTTTTCTTTAGGATCATCCTCCTCTTCAGCTTCTGCTGCCTGTTCTGGTTCAACTGGAGTGCCATCACCACTGCCAACTTCTGTTTCTATTAAAATATTAAGTGCAAATGTAACAATATGGTAAACTTCATTAAAATTGGCCAGATTTTAGACATAAAGGATCCTACTTATATTATAAATGTGAAAGTATGTGCGAATGTATGGATGTATGTTTGTTATTTTTTCATACAAAAATGGATGGACACATTTGGTTGAAATGTAGTATGCAGATAGGTATATCCTGGATTAACACAAAGGCTAGTTTTTATGCGGCGGGTGCAACGGGTAGCAATTTTGTGTATATTAGCCACCATCATCATCATCAGTCAGAAAATGTCCACTGCTGGACAAAGCCCTCCCCCTTATATTAGCCAACTCCCAAAAAAGAGGTTTCTCAATTCTATGATGAATGTAAGGTAAAGCAAGGTATGGCTTAATGTAAGGTAAGCTACTGATTAATGTTTTCATTAATAATTCTGTTTAGAACTGAGACACTGACTTTTAAAGTATCAATGGGAGGGTAACCTATAGTTACTTTGCCCTTTGTTTTTTAGTTTTTAGCTTTAGTTTGTAAATTGGTTCTAGTAATAACTGTTTATTATTTATTTGAATCTGATTTCAACTTAATTTAGAGCAAAAATGCCAAACTTGAACTGTTCTGGCCTGAAAAATAAATAAAAATCTTATTGTTTGAAATAATAAGACATTTATGCCCGAGGTTAATGTTTGCCTCTTCTACAGTCAGAATTTTAATTCGATTCCTGATTTGACATGACCTACTGTCATTTTGTGAAATAATGATACCACATATAACAGTGTAGTGATGAACACAAAAATCGATAAACAATCAGTGAATCAGTTACAGGAAGGTTTCAAAAAATTACGGCTTCCGAATGGTCTAAATGGGTATCCCATGTTGTCAAAGAAGAGGAAAAAATGAGTAAGCTAGAATTATGTTAATTGACAATAAATATCAAAGACACAATTCATTATAAATGTTACTAAAGTAACAGCGATAGCGATATCGATGACGGCGACAATTTATAAAATGTCTGTTTTATTTGTCATGTTCCTTCATGATCACATTTTTTATTAATTTCACACACAATTACAAAAGAAAAGTCTCGTATCGATCGATCGTTAATTAATTGTCAAAACTAAATTATCGGTTCAGAAATATTTTATTTCCTGATAAACTTAGTTTACGAGACTCAATTTATAAAAGAGAGGAATCGATTCAGAAATATTCGATTTCCACATCGAATAATTTCGCAACGTCACTATTTATTACGTGTCATAACGTTGCAACACTGAAATTGTCAAATCTGGAATGGAATTAAAATTCCGAGTATAATTCATAATTTACATGCTAAGATTTATGGCGAAAACCTCAAAGATTTGGCATGAACAAAAACAATTATTAACAACACATCAGCTGAGTAAGTGCCTTCAAAATATTTCATAGCAACCACATGCACGAGTGTGAATAAAATAAAAATAAAACATCAAGTAATGACTCACGGTTTTTCTTTTCTTTGTCAATATCCTCTTGTATTTTAACAGCTTCCTGATCTGTTATTTCAGTGACAGATGCGGGTTCAAAGTCCTGAGCCATCCTCTCTTGTTCCTTCTTTTGCTGGATGTCTTTCAACCTTTTTTCTGCTTCTTCCTTTTCTTTCTTTATTTTATCAGCCTCTTCCTTTGCTTTCTTAGCATGAACATAAAATGTGTCTTTTACCACCTGTAAAAAGTTTTTTTTACATGTACTTTGAGAACAACTAATATTGAAAATGAAATAGTTTATATAGTTCCTAAGATTATCTTACCTGCTCCCATTCTCCTCCTTTGCCACCAGTGAAGAAATCTGTCTTCCTGGCCAAGAAGCCTACTATTGTATTCAGCAGCTGAAAAAGGCATATACAGATATTTTAAAATAAATGTATAAATATAAGGTATTTCAAGTATCAAATTATGAATGAATACTTTCAATATGAAACTTATTAGTATTAATGTAGTGAGTGTATTGACCTTAGATTGTAGTTACATAAGTTCACTTTCTTGTACAATTTTCCTTTAATTCTATACATATAAACAACACAGTTGATTGCAATTTTTAAATAAATAATCATGCCAACTAAGTATTTCAATTACTACATAATATAAGACAACAATGTTGTGTAATCATAGAGAAGTGAAAAACATAATACTAGCATTAAAATCTTTTTTATAAGAACTCATTTTTAAGGTGTTAACAGACTTAATCTGTAACCATAGGCCAAAAACAGTTTATTGACCAAAACCACTTTTAATACCCAAAGGACGAATTAAATACTACATCATTGTTTCACCAGTTCTGTTATGAGAGTTGTGTAATAATTGGCTGTTGCCATCTATCAGGAATATAAAATATTTCACGTTTCATAAGATGAAAAATAGGTTTTCAGCCTCATAGGGAAGTTTGTTTTAAAATTCTAGAAAGGGAAGATCATATTAGATTTGAGACACCTGGAGTGTAATATGTTTGTTTCTAAATTCTACCTATCTTTTCATCAATTGCCTAGTATTAGCTACCTATTGGATATTGTCAACAAATACAAATTATATTCATATAGTAAAATAATATGTTGGTAAATAAATAAAATTATCGAAGCTATTGCTAAAACTGCTGGCCATTTTTACATTAATAAAAATCGATTTCAAACTACCTATCTTTTCAATACAAATAGTTCAATAATATTGCTCAAGCTAACTCAAATTTAACATTTCGTTGTGTTTTTTAATACTATTCCGGTAACCTAGCAAACTAGATTGTTGAATCACATGTGATCAATAATAGCTGAGAACTTTGTAGAACAATCGAGAACTGAGCACCTTTTCATATTTAAAAGAATACAGTGAAAAGCTATTACAAATATAATTTTAACATAAATAATTAAAACTGTTATGATGGTTAATATAGAATAATTCATATTACTTACATCTTTAACACCACCTTCGTGCTGTTGAGCCATTGCTAACAACATCGTATCAAATCTTTCGGGATCGTTAGCCATTGTTTCGCGTTACTGAAAAGGTGGACTCGATACTATTGATCTAAACAAGACAAAAGAGCTGAGTAAAAACAAAGATAATGTTGTCTTTTTGTCTTCAATCACACGATCACACGAGTCACGGCACCGCGTCGCTAGACAAACAAAATTTTCGAAATTTCTATGCCTTGACAGTATGTTGACAGCGGCACAGCGGGATTTGACTTTGACGTTTAACGTGACAGTAGAGTAGCAATAATGACAATTAGTTAGGTAAGTCCTTTTTGCATTTTCTGTGGTTTAGTCATTGAACGAACGGTAGATTCGACCAGAGTCCACGGCCTCACAGAAAACCGGCAGTGAAACAAGCACAGTGTTGTGTTTCGCTGTATAAATGATGTTAACAAAGTATTATTCCTTCTCCATTCCTCCTGTGATTTAGAGGACCCCTCTCTCTCCCTTTTCCTATCCCTAAATCCCCAAAAGCCATAACCCGTAAACGGCCACTTGTACCTATTTTGGTGTTCGCCGACTACTCAGATTAGGCGGCGCCGATAGCTAAGCATCAGCTTATAGGTCAGCTTATAACATACTTGAATATTAACTCTCGACAGTTTATCATCCTAAATGGTGGATAAATACTTTTTGAACTATTTTATCCACCATTGCTGTGCTCGTGCTTTGTTCACTACCCGCGTGGCAGCGCTAGCAGGTTGTTAAAAGACATTAATCAGATAGAAAATCAAGATCTAGATAAGGCCGGTTTTTTCATAATAGTTCATTTACAGGGATGTTTGAAGGAAGGGTAGTAAGGCTTTGCCCTGCAGCGGGATGACAACGACTTAAATAACTAAAAAAATTAAATAACTTGGATCGAACACGATTAAACGAAAGGACTAGTTACCTCTATCTCAATTCTCTATGGATTTTATTCATAGACAAAACGTTTTGCAAGAAAGTGAAAGAAAAAGACAGTGTCAAGCGTATGGAGGTCATGCCTTGCATTTTTATGCATTTTACAAAGTTATTGAATCATATAACAGCAAAAATTAACTAAAACTAATGTTATCTGTTATTGTCATGAGCGTTTTACTCCAGGTTTGTAAACATTTTCGTTTAACGTATGGTTTCAACGGCTTCATACACTGTCATTTGTCAAAACTAGAAGTCAGCATAATTATTTTTGTTTTGCAGAATATTCTACAGAAACCATAGGGATGGCTGATCAATTTTGTTTACGTTGGAACAATTTCCAGTCAAACATAGTGAGTGCCTTAGATTCATTGAAGTGTTCAGAAGATTTGGTCGACGTTACGCTCACCTGTGAAGGCAGAAATATCAAGGCCCATAAAGTCATATTGTCAGCGTGCAGCCCGTACTTCAGGAATGTGTTCAAGGTGAATGACTTAGGACATTAATAACCTTCATATTTATATCATTGAACATATAACATGTACACATAGCTACTTTTAATTTTTCATTCTGTTTGACCCTGTTATTTTCTAGATTATGAATTAAAGTGCAGTTTATTTTCTTTCAACATTATTTTCCTTTCTTATGTTTGTATTGAACATTTCTAATTGATGATTTTTACTCATGGAGTTAATTTTAAATCTTGAACAATTTGTGAAGTATGTAAAAATTGAGTATGTTTTTTTTTACTTTAGGAAAACCCATGTCAGCATCCAGTGATCATACTGAAAGATGTGTCTGCTGATGACATTGTCAGTCTACTGTCTTACATGTACCAAGGAGAAGTGTTCATAGAAGAGAGCAAGCTGTCTTCTTTCTTGCATACAGCAGCACTTTTACAAGTAAAAGGTCTAACTGGTGTGACACAGCAGGTAAATAAACATTTGCCAACTACAATACTATTCTGTTTCCCTGGGTTTTTTATTTGTTTTAACACAATTGCGGATATTTTATTTGTTTCATTCAATTCCAATAGTGGAAATCTAGTAGATCAGTAGTTTAATTTTAAGTAATTCTTGGTCTATATTTGATCGTAAAAAAGCATGTAATATAAATTTATATTAGGTACACTACACAAGACAAATTATTATTTATATTACTTTGAGTACCAACATATTTATACACATGTTGTACTCAGGTAGTTGAAACTAGTTTATTTTTTTCTTTACTGGTATTATAATGGACATTTTATTCTATATACTTTCTTTGAGTGTTATTTAAAAAATGTGTTATTTTATTGCAGAAGGAAAACTTTTCATCTCCAAACACATCAAATAAGCTATACACACAGCTGACTATATCATCTAAACCATTATTTAATGCTGCTCATAAGGAAACAAAACTGCCGGCTTTGAAGAAGAGACGAAGTAGTACTTCAGATAAACCCACTGATGTTACCATTGGGGATGGCCCCAAAAAGAATAAACTTATAGAAACATTTGATATATATAGTAGAAGTAACCACACACATGCAACTAAACTCGACAACCCTGTGTTTTTCCCAGAAAATAATATTGACAAGAAATGTGATGCCAAAATTGAAACACCAATAATAACAGCTAATGGAAAAAGCTCATCATCTCAGGTACATAATTATAATAATCCTAGAAAATATTTTAAATCATTTATCTGTATTTTATTAACTATTTCATTCATTAGTTCTTATTGAATTTACAGGGAACCCAAGGAGACAACATTCCGGTTACAATAAAGACAGAAAGGACAGATGAGAACAACTCACCTACACTCTCAATAAATGCCAACTCTGAAAATGATGAAAGTCTTCCTGATTATGAAAACAGTATGCTTGCCAGATCCCTACTCTCAGGTAAGTTGAAGTCTTATCTATATCATATATATCTATATCTTATTATTTGTACTACTTGGCTATGAGTGTGAAATTTAAGTTTTATAAAAATTAAATTCACTATACCTACAATGAAGACCTTAAATAAAAAAATTGTGATATTCAAAATAAAAATTTATGTTAATATACTCAAAATATAAACTAATTAACTAATGTTATTTAAAAATAATGAGGTATGTTATAAATGAATATACACATATTTTTTAAATTACAGGGATAAATCCATCGAAAAGTGAAGCTTGTGCCAATAACTCAACTCTAAAGAAAGTGTCAAATGTGATGGTAGATGTGCATTGTTCAACTCGGTCAAAAGATATTCTTAATACAGATACTGTGACATTCACTAATGCCCCATCTAAAAGTCCCGTAAAGTCTATGCTTACTGAAGAGTTACATTTGAAACCAGAAAAACAGTCACCGAAATCTGATGTGGATTATGAACCAGAAGTGTTATTGTCAGAACATCAAGATGGTACAGACTCTGACAGTAACTTTGCTCAAGACCAATCTCAAGCTCTACTCATGTTGGCTGGAATGTCCACGGTCCCTGTACTGAGTGGCGGCGCCTCTACATCGCAAGGACTCGCGCACCAGCAATCAAACCATGCAGCTATATGTGGTGACTGCCCTCACTGCGGCATGAAGTATTCCAACCAGTCAGCCTTAAAATATCATGTCAGATTAATGCACTCCGACTTGACCAATAGACTGTGTTGCTACCTCTGTCCAAGGTCATTCACTATGCGTGAGACATTCAAAGAACATATGTGGACAAGTCATGGTCAAAGGAATTAATTTTCATTTATTATCCTGCAAACATGTGCCTTAGGTTCTTTGTCAATTGTGTTAGGACAGTGGATGAATGAGGTGGAAAGCTAATGTGCCTTGTTGAACGAAATGAATGCCTTGCTAAATATATCTTAGGTCAAAAAAAGCAGTGGAAGAGACTGATAGCTTTTGCTTGAAAAGAAATAAAATTTTATAACTTTTTAAAGGACAATGTTGTCCTCTAATTGACCCAGTTCAGTATTTTGAGATTTTAAAATATTCAGTGCAGCTGTGCTTCATGAAATGTTTTGAAAATAATAGTTGCATTTCATAAAACAGTGGTAATAGCTAAAGTGCTTATTTATTAAGGTGCATAATTATACTAATTCAGGTGTGGTATGCGGCCAGCTGACACTTGTTGAATTCACTGTAGGTAGTGATATAGATATAATTGGCTGTATTTACTTTAAGGATACAATTTATTACAAGAAGAATTATAGAAAGAATTGTAAGGTTATTTTCTTACATTGGTGAACCGAGTCGGCAAGTAAGCGAATGATATAGTATTTGTATTATAGAGTAAAACATTTTTGATGCGGATTTACAAGTATGTGAGTGTTGAGGAATTTTTCAGATTGTACAAGTTTGATATCTGTTGGAATTGCCAGAGATCTTATTATTATATTTTAAAACGGTTACTGTTACAGTTACTAATAGGTGCTTAAATTGGTTGGATCTTATTATGAATATTTTTAAAGCAGTGTGGTCCACAATGCCAAACAAAATTAGAATGTTACAAGGAATGCAAACATGTCTTCAAATGTTTATTGATATTCTTTTACTACTATATTTAAGTTGTCCTTTATTGTTGATAAATGTTTAATTAAGTTATTACTTTCGAATAGCCACAGATGTGGATTTTTATAACTAAGTTTATTCTATTAAAAAAATTAAGAAATAAGTTATTATCTATTTGAAATGTTCTTTTTGGTATTGTGCCAAAATGTTTCTTTGAATAAGTTATTGAATTAGTAGGATGTTACTTGGAATTTAAGTTACCTGTAATTCTCTGTCGTTTTCTTTATTATTTCATAGTTTTAATTTTAGTAGTATCTAAGAGAAGTTTTTATTTCTACTACTGTTATCTCAAATATTTTTATAGTACGAATTGTTAATTTAAATTACTCCAGTGAATGCCATTAGTGAAAATTGTTATTTTGTGAAACACATTACCTATAGATTAGGTTACCGAATCTAAATAGTTATAGTTAAATTTATAGTTAGGTTAAAATATTATATTTGCGTTAATATAATATTGTTGAATATTTTATTCAGAATTTTACACGATTTACATGATTTTAAATTATGTTATAAATAAAAATTATGCTTCGTAATTATTTTTCTTATTTCCTCATATCACACGTATATACATAACCTAAATTATTTAGGAGGATGTTTCCAAGTTTATCCCCTCAATTTTCTTAAGATTAATTTAAGATTTTTTGCAATTTACAATGTAGTAACAATGTACAATGTATGACGAAAAGACATAATTTGCGATATTGATTTTTCTAAGTTAGGTACCGATAATGTTAATGGTTTTATCAATTACGAGCTACTCTCGCGCGGTTTCACCCGCTGCTCAGCTCCATTTGATCGTAGCGTGATGTTTTATAGCTTATAGCACTCGGGAACATTGTAGCTATCTATCAGTGAAAGAATTTTGGCAATCCGACCAGGGGTTCCAAAGATTACCCCCTACAAACAAACTTACAAATTTTACCTCTTTATAATATTAGTAAGTATATGTAGACTAGCTACTATCCCACGGTCTCACCCGCTGCTCCGCTCCTATATATCGTAGGGTGATGTATGTAAAAAATAATTGTTTAATTCGAACCAGTAGTTCCGGAGATTAGCGCGTTCAAGCAAACAAACGAACTCTTACAGCTTTTGCTAGTATTAGTATTGATAATTAGTTGTAGCGCAAGAACCTACTTAGGTTAGGTACCTACTTGCGCTACTGCTGTAACAAAACAGCAAAAAAACCTAAAAAAGAAATTCGCAGGCCACCTTAAAGCTGTGACCTTAACGTTGTGAACTTTAGGTATTCACCTGAACGAGAGATGATCTCTGGCCACCGTAAGCGCGGGTTTGCAGACGGCGAGTAAGGGTAACTTGCCGAACGAGACCCGAGCGTTCGGCGCGTAGCATTCACAAAGAGCTAATAGACCACCACAGGCGGGGCCCTATAGGGCTGATGTTCAGCCGGGGTTACCTACGGGTTACCTAATCACCGCAGCCTCGGCCCAGAGCTTAGAAGGAACGGGAAGGGGGAGGTTTAGTCACTCGTCTCTTGCCTTACCCTGGGCGGGCGAAGTCATTGATGATTTTCCCCTGACAAAAAAAAGGCTTCATCTGAAGTTTACTTAAAAAAGTCGCGATCAACATAAGTTTTCTATTTCTTAAAACACTTCAAGAAACATGTCCCTTTATATTAGAACTTACGCTACTTACATTTTATTCTCTCTATAGCTTATAATTAAAGGGTCCTGTCAAATATTCGCCGACTAGGCACGGCAAGAAAGAGGGATGCACAAAATAGAAGGGTACAGGGGACATTGTTGTAGCGATACGTAGGCTGGTGTACAGCCTATGGCGTCTAGATTGACAATGGGGAAGGGTAAAAAGATAAGCTGTTGTAAGTATAACAAGACTCATTTATTGATTTTTGTTTTTAAACGACATTTCTAATAGTCGGTGCAGATAGAGCTAACGTGGGTAGGTTGATTGGTAGATAGATACCTATTTAGGTAGGTATTTGCTAAGTAATTAAATAATTCTATGTCCATTTTAATTTTCTGTTTTAACGTGATACGTACCTAGGTACTTTGTTAAATCGATTTTACCTATAGGTATGTATCTAGTGTCATCATTTTTCTATAGGTAGGTAGGTACACTACCTACTAACTCCTGATATACTATAGGTACACAAAAGAATTGAATTGAAATAAAAATCTTCATATAGATAATAAATTAATGATGTAGATGCTACGAATACCTATACAATTGGTACCTCAGTGTAGATATACGCCTGGCATGGGAAACAACCGCTCGATTCTCTATCTTCACCCCTAAGAGGCTGGGTTGGCGCGTAAGTTCGTTAGCAACCAAGCTATTTAGCCGATGGACTGTTAACATCGACTCAATTGATCCATTGCCCCTACGTTAGGTACCTATACATTAAAACAAATGGACTGAAAACTGGATAACTAACTACTCTATATTATACTATACTTAAAGAAATGTAGCGCAAATCTACTGCATACCTACTACTTATTCGATTATCATATCTGTAACAAAGTGTAAAAACTAAAAGCAAAAGTACCTAACTAAGTAACAAAACTTTTTCGTAATATGTTAGCAATCGGTGTCTCAAGCTCTAAACAAAATTATTCATTAAAACCCTTACAGGTTGCTACATCACACAAAGCATAAAGCTGTTTATAAATGTATCTATATCCTATTATTTCTGTGACTATTGAGTTATATTATGTTATGGATGAGGATCAATACAAATTAATCAAGCCGAAACACAAGGTCTACTGTTAAATGTTGAGGAGTTTTCTTAGCTATCATAAGTAGACACCTACTACTTTATCATCATGCTTCGCACCCCATTTAAGTTTAAAGTTCATCATCAATACTAATGAATCAGATCTGCCACGAGGTCACTGCTCTGAAAACTCCAGGAGATTTTTCGACTGTCATTCGGCTCCATCATCAGGCCAACTCCAGACCGTAATCAAATTGATTTGTTAGATACCTAAATATGTCTAATAACACTACTAACAACTACCACTAACCAAACAAACATTTCACCTCAATTTCCCTGGGATCCAATCGTTAGATCCTGACTTGGTGGTAAAGGGTGGTCCCACTGAAGATAGAATCGATAAAATTGAGAAACCTTTTTGAAGTCGGTTCAAGAAGAAAAGGCGCACTTTTAAGTATTAAATTTCTATCTACCCGTAAACATGTTGTATAAGTATTAAATAAAGTAATTTATTTTTAATTAGTCTATCATCTACGTAGGTATTTACCAACTACTAACTTATCACACAAACTTATATTTCTACAAACTTGAAGATGAGTGCAAATTATGCTGGCCTTACAGTTCGCATTGCGGTTGCGGTATAAAAATCTGCACGACTCATTTCTCTCACATTTTGTGATTTTATTTGAAAAATTGCACATATTATAGTTCATAGTCTGCTACATTTGTTAGCGAGGGACCCTACCCACCCTGTCTACGATAGTAGATACGTACAATGGAGAGAGGAGGAGAGGAGCTTAAATTTGGACCGCGAAAGAACATGCAGTATCGATGATGATTTGCGTAACTGAATAAAGTCGTCGGTGCGCTACACGTGATGTGCGCATACCTTTAACTGTGGAGTAAGTACATAGATATTGACAGATCGCTAGCTCATCGCAACAACCCATTTCCCATAGCTGTTTGTTACAGCTCGCGACGAATGAGATTCTATTCACACTCAATATTTTCATTCCATTTGCCATTGATTGTCGTGGAAACTAAGGATGCCTATTATAAAGAACTATTGATTTTAGACTATACAAAGTTTATACTGTAAGTAACATATAATTAATGCACTTTAATGTTGCTTTAGCTCCACTAGAATACCAAACAAAATTATCAGAAAATCATACTTATATGAATATTTTTTTATCCATCCAAATTTGTATAACAAGTTTTTCATAAACATTAACAAACATCCAACCCAAAGATGTAAAAAAAGGAATTAACAAAGGATCCCTATCATTTCGAATAGTCATATATAGTCCACCTAGAAAACTACCTACCTAATAAACCTACGTAGATAACGAGTTAGCCTCCAGATTTCAGAGAGAAATGTTAACGCACGTGCGTAACTACCGACTTGGTAAAATATAAAATGTTCGTTGAAATCTATAATATTGACACGCGTTCGACACAAACAGTCGGCACATTGGTCGTATTGTAACACTAAGTTATGTACGAAGTGTAGGTAGACTGTGGGTAGGTGTAAGGGCGTTCGAGGAAGCCCCTTAATGCGGAGACAGCTCCACTGGGACGCTATTGATCGTCATCCGCCGTCAGTGGCCGAGGCGCCCCTATTGATTCGCCGCAATCTGCATGATAACCCGCGCCTGGCTTCTCTACACTTACTACACAACATACATTAGAACACAATTACCGAGACACATTTACAGACGACATTGCTGACTGATACGTTATCACTGCGAAGCACTTGTACTGTTGTTACTTTTGCTCCCCAATATTGTTACCAACTGCGCGAAGTCTGCTTGAACTTAGGGCTAACACGTGACGTTTATATGAACAGGAGAGTTCACAGAACTGGTCGGAATAAATCTGAAATTCATTACCTGGTTAGATACATTCGCTACTTTAAAATTGATTAATTTATTTTGATGTTTAGTGCTTGATTTAATAAATTATAACTCAAAATGAAAAATTGAGATATGGATTCTAGCGAGACCTCTTCCTGTTTATTTATATTCAGAATGCGAAATTCAATCAAATGTAGGTAATCTATTTTTGATAAATGGTAGACAGTTTTTACTATGAAAATGCTACGTCAATTTGGTGACAATACAAATGTTTTTATTTACAAGTACATATTAATATTTTAGTTCAACATTTTTATATACACTTTCTCTAAAAGTAATGTCTAATTTATTTATAATAACACGCATTTGAACAAGTTCAAAACTGTAAACAGTTGCGTAAAGATCTTGCCGGAATTTTGAATGTTCGCGCCGGCGTAGTTGGTACACGGAGTGAACTCACTACAGTAAGTAACGTGATACATAGGTACTCTGTATACATAGCTTCAGAAGGATCTATCACACAGACGACCGGCCTACGTACTATCACGCTTTTTTCAATGTGGAGTTGCGCAGAACTCAAACATGTCGATTCAAACGATTTTTGGTAGTTTCTCTGGATAACACTTTGCCGGTTGCCAGTTATTGGTTTCTTTGGGATTACGAACATGATATGGCAAGCTGTATCGTCACTGTTAACCAAGAGTTACGTATAGCTTGCAATTATTGAGGCAAAAATCAATTTGTGCCTACGTACTCATATTTTACGAAACCTGATATTGATTTCCGCACTCAGTAAGTAGGTTTTGAAGTATTTATTCTATTACCTAAATGCCGTTATTAAAACCTAGGAAATGTCTTTTAAAATCCTAGAGTATTATATAAATCTATATTTACAGCAGTTGAAGTAAGGAGGATAGTGTATATAGCTATCCGCTAGCACAATGTATGTTAACATATCTATTGT